CCTAACTTTCTACACTGGATCAATATATTACATTTAGCTGATATTGAAAATGGTAACCTACTTAATTTAAATGTTAAATTTTAAATTATGAGGTTTACATCAAAGTCAACATTTCACACATGCAGATTTAAAGGCATAATAAGGGTTATATTCTAGATAATGTAGTGGTTTCTTCGCACCCAGAACTCAAGTGATAGATCATCCAGAGATGAGCATGTTATTGCCACGTGGGAGTTACATTTAAATATAAAGACATTTTGTATTAAGCCAAAGTACAGACCTACTGAGCTTGGCATATTTATTGAACTATCTTTAATATGTCTTCTAAAAAATAGGTTATTTTTGTATCGATGATAAAAATTTCTGTACAGAATCAATTTCCTCAGTCTAGTTCCATTAAGCAATATGTTATATCATAGAGTAACTCAAAATCTATTATCACTCTGAAAATTTGCTTTACCCTAAGTTCTGGCAAGATAAAGCACTCCAGAAGATTTTACTATGGAGTGTTCCTATAAAACTGATATTGCTTCCAGTTTGTTTTTTTTTTTTTAAAGGAGTAGGATATACTTTCACAAATTCATATACTGTGTCTTAAGAAAAATAAACAGGCACCTCCATAACCATGAGATCGCTGAAGTAGTATTTCGAATTCTTGTGTGAGGAATGTGAGATGTACATATATTTTTAGAGTTGTGAACAGTCCCACAGTACAGCCTGAAGCCTGAGTCTATCCAGAATGGATGTAACAAGTTTGGACATTGTGTTTCAGATAAACATTGAAAAATCTCTCATTTTCAGTACTGGGCATTGAATCCAGGTGCTCGCAACATCTCTGCTCCACCCCTTTTTGAAACAGTTGCCAGAACAGTGGCCAGAACGAAGTTGCCCAGGCTGGACTCAAACTTGCAATCCTCCTGCCTCAGCCTCCCAGAGTGCTAGGATTATAGTTGTATGCCACCATGCCCTGCTTGTGCTGGTGATCTTGTTTGTGAGTCCATTGCTTCATGATAATCCGTGTGAATCCTTTAGACCAAACTTGGAGAGCTCTTCTCAAAGTTTGTTTCTATTCCCATCAGAAACCAGGACCTTGTCAGCTTTCCTTAGGGTTAGGGCTCGGAGTGTCTTGGGTGTGGCTGCTGCTAAGGTTTGGTTTCCTGAACTCTGTTGCTGTAAAAATGCCTGGTCCCACACTGCTCTTCCTGGCTTCCTGCCCCTCCTGGCATCTTCCTGCTGCTGTGGCTCCCTGCTGATCTCCAACACAGTGAAGCTTTGCTTATGACCCAGGTTTCTGTGTTTTGCTAGAACTTGACTTCTCCCAGCTAATGGAGATTGGCTAGTACAGGGGTGTTTGCAGTATGGCATCCCTCTTCTCCCTGCTGTCACAAATGTAGATTTTCCTGTGAATGGGTTGTGTCTATTCCTTGTTCAGCCTGTTATGGCTGGGATCTACATGTTCCCCCCAAAGCCTCATGGGGCCATAAGTGGGCTTTTTCAGAGGTGGTGGCTTGGATCTAGAGTGTGTGATGCTAGGAATAAGGGTGTGTGATTACTGAATCACTCCACTGAATG